CTTCCCCCGATGCCCTCCCCCCTCCCCCCTCCCACCTCCTCCCCCTCTCCCTCCTTCACAACACAACACACTGCACGACCAGGGCCCGTTTATACATTCCGACAAATTCCTTTAAACCAGAGCTATTTTTAAGATCTCAACATCGACCACAGTGACCACCGGTGCCCCCACCCCTCCACCTCTTGCCCCCCCACTCACATCTGATGGAGATCAGGCCTGTTGCCTGCGCATCGCATCCATCCATCCATCCATGGATGGATGGATGGATGCGTCATGCCTGGCCAGCCGCTCCAACTGTGGCACAACGACGACCATCTGCTCCGTCGCATTCCTATGGTGTTCCCCCCGCCGTGGTACTTTGCACGCCCCCCCCCCTCAAAACAAGTCGATCTGTTCCTATTACCTTATCTTTATTTCTTTATTCCTACATGTCATGTGTCGTGTTTCTCCACGTGTGAAGACATCAGTGTTTTTTTACAGTCATATCAGCACCACGTTAGTGGATAATCCCTTAAAACCATCAACATCAATAAGAAAAGTAAAAAAAAAATAAAAAATTGTTAAATCACAATCCTTTTCACATTATTTTGATACTAGTTTCTCAATATTTTCAACTTTGAATTTTCTAATATTTTTCTATATTTCTATATCTATATTTTTGAGTTATATTTATTTTCGTGCTTATTTATTTATATTTATTTGCATATTTACCACTTTACTTATTTAACCAAATAACGATGCTGTGTCGTGTACTGAACTCTGGACCTTGTCGTAAATGTTTTGCGTTGTTTTCTGGTTCGGGGATTCTTTACAGAATATTGACCCAAACTGTCGATTTCCAGTTAATTCCATTCCAATAATCCACAATCTCTCCATCTGTGGCTCCACGTTCCGTCTCTGAGAACTGGTTTTTGTGTCTGACTGGCCGCTGATTTCATTGTAAATGCAGACATGTGTGAAGACAGTGTGAACGGAGCGCAGGCTCCAGCTGCTTTATATGAACTTTCTCTTGAAGTCGCTGCGTCAATAACCCACACAGATGACGCCGTCGGCGGCTGCAGACCGTCGTACCTTTTCTGCTGCTCGCTGTATGTGTATTTCACCTCTGCGTTTTGGTGCGGGCAGTAAAACGAGACTTGGTGGCGTGTCGCTCGCGTGGCTGTCATTAAGGGACTTTGTGGAGACGTAGGAGGAGGGGAGGGAAGGAGGGAGGGAGGAGGAGGAGAGGGAGGAGGAGAGGGAGGAGGCGCAGAGGGAGTAAAGTTTTTTTTCTTTGTGCTTTCAGCTGTATGGTAATTGGGGCCGGCAGCACCTGCTCTCCCACAATAATAATACACGAGCAGGGAGAGAGAGAGAGAGAGAGAGAGAGAGAGGGAGAGAGAGGGAGGTTGGACATCATCAACCTCACTATATGATTGATAGAATAGTTTGTACAACTGTATGCCGTGTAAAAGTGCGCGCGCGCGCGCGTGCACGTGCGGACAATAATGAGAAAGGGAATTTGCACTTGTTGACAAGATGATGTCATTTTAGGCATCCATCCATCCATCCATCCATCCATCCATCTTTCTATCCATCTTATTAATTGATTTATTTTTGTATCTTGATTATTACTTGATTGTTTTGTGCTCAAACGACATTCCTGGCTAAATTGTTTGTGTTTTTGCGGAATTAATGCCACTATTTGTTTGTGTTTTTATATATATATAAATATTAATATCTTACCTATATACTATCTTCTTTTTTTGCTTTGAGCCATATAAAAAATGTAGTATACTTATTTTCCTATTAATTTTCTTAAATAATCTAAAAGCCATTTTGTCTAGATTTTAGCTTCATTTTAAACTTTTTTTTTTCTCCAAAGTTTGTGATTTTTTTGGATCACCTGTTTGGGCTGTTTCTTAGAAGTTTTTTTTAACTTATATACTTATAATTCTGCTTCTGTTATTCACACCATCACATATCTTTTCCCTAAACACAGAGAACCATAGGGGGCGCTCACAGAGGTTCGGACAGAACCGTGAGCAAACGGGAGTTTATCTCCACACATTCGTCAGTCGGCCATACCTGCACAATCACAATGAGATCAGGAAAAAAGGGGAAAAAGTTGTAATGTTTTAATAGTCTCCTTGATGTGCAGAACATTTCCAAGCATGGCGCACACACGGTGGATAAACAGCAGCTCAAATTGCTGCTTCTGTTACATTCTAATCCTGTGACAAAGGACCTTCATGTCAACACGGAGCTGCAGCAGAGCTGGTGGTGTGCCACCATCACCGCAGAAGTTTGTTGACCCAGCTCGGCTGTAATTCCCTCTGGGTCAGTGTATATGGATAAATGAGGAGCCGATGTCTAACACGCTCTTCACAGCCCTTGAGACTGATTGAAGGGCCTTTAACCTTCAGCATTAACACTATTATCCCTGCCAGCCACGGTCTTCCCACATACCAGTATGTGTGTTTAGCAGTCGGACGAACGCTCATTTCTCTCTACCAGTTGATTTCCAAACCCCCTCCCACCTCCTCGTCAATGGCCAACAATGCTGCGATATGTGGCGTGGCGTAAAATCCTTCTTCTCTTCAAGGCCTGTTATTTACACTCATAGCAACTTTCAGAGGTGCTCTTTCTCCCCTCCCTGGATTAGGTCAATATACCATCAGTCATTCATCACCATGACGTGGCACACATTTTCTGATTAGGCCAGCAAACCGTGACTGAGAGGCATGGTGAGATGGAAAGTGACCCCCTTCTTCTTTCTCTTCCTCATTCAGCACCAAGATGACATTCTGCCCTAAAACATAATTTATGCCAGGAGATTATCTAATTGTCCCCCAAAGGAAACTGGGGGACTCCGCCCCTTGATCTCTTTGTGAGTGCAGTTGGGATTGTCAGCCTGCAAGAACTTTCTAATATAACCACTCACCTTGTCAGAGCTGCTTATGAGGATCTACCTCTGGTTCTAATGAGGCAGAACCTCAACACTGGCTGAAATGAGACGTGAATGAACACATTTTCAGAATTGGACTTCACTTCAGTCCTTAAAAAATGGCATCTAGGGACATTTTATTCCAAGGACGATTTCTGGAATAGGGTCTTGGTCGTGGAAAGATTGAATATGAGGAGGAGACAAGGCCATTTGAATCCGTCAAAAACATCTAGAAAATGTAAACACTCACCTGGTTTCAGATGTTAACGCACTTGTGAAGCTACTCCTGCTCACAGATGCTTCTCAAATTTTAAGTGGAGTGATATTTTTATAGTGAAAAAAGAAGGTTGGTGGTTGTCATTGTTCACAACATCACATTTTTTTTCTAACATTATTATTTAAGGTTTGTTGGGCTGGTACAAGGTGATAGTCAACTAAAAAAAATAAAATAAAAAAAAAATCACTCCAGTGTTGTATCATTCATTCTGTCTGTTTTATTTGTACCCAAATGCAGTACTGTTAGTATTTACTGTACCTGCTGACCTCAGGTGCCTGTACCAGAGGAGATAGTGTTTACTCTGTATATAAATATGCAGCAACACGCATTCAAATACTTCTGTAATCACTGGAGTCACTCTGGTCTCATTCCCTTGGACGTCACTTCGCAGTTATGATGACGTAGCTTTTTAATTCCCTTTTACAGTCTATGAACGATTTGAGGTGTAGATACTGCAATTAGATAATCAGATTATATAATCTGCTGTCAGATTAGCCTCAAACTGGTTATGATAAAATAATCTTTTAGGACTGTGATAACAAGTGGAAGTCGGTGCACAGTCCTAACAAGAATAGCTCTGCAAACATGTTTGTAAATGTGTGTGTACTCGTGTGTGTGTGTGTGTGTGGTTCAGAAATTGTTTAACTGGAGGTCGATTGTTTAACTGGAGTGCTCCCCTATTGTCTATATGTGTGTATGAGTAACTGCGTGCGTGCGTGTGTTTGTGTGTATATATGTGTGTTTGGTTAGTGTTTGTGTGTGTGTGTGTGTGTGTGTATGCGCGCAGCTCTGAAACACGCCGGGGTGGGGGATTAAAGGGGGGGAGCACAACAAAGGAAGAGGTCTCGCGCCCCGCCGCCCATTCATCCCTTTCTCTCGCGCAGTAATTCCCATTGATTCTTATTGAAGACCGAGGCGCGAGCCCCTCAGGGGAGAACCGTGTGATTTGTGAAGGGTCGCGAGGACAGGACACGCCCCTCCTTGAGTCTCGACCATCTGCTCCCCAAAACACCACAACATCAACCACATACCCACACCTCCGTAACTCCTACAGTTCCTTCATCTGCGCTGCAGCCTCAGCTGCACCTTCTCCTTCCTCACCCCTCTTACCTCCTCCTCTTCCTCCTCTTCATCACTTGACTCTCCGCACTGTCTATGAAAACATAAACATAACGTTTGTAGAGGTAAATGTCTACGGACCCTGAGCCAAATCACAGTGGAGGCATGCAGTGGCTAAGAGCTGGCCATATGGTGTGTGTGTGTGTGTGTGTGTGTGTGTGTGTTTGCCAAGGAAGGGATGGATGGCCGTCGTGGGAACCTCCAAATCATCACCATCACACACACACATACACACACGCAGCAGCCTCGGGGCTGGTCATTTGCAGAAGCTTCGCTCTGCTCTGGATCATTTGATTGGAGCCAGAACGACTGTTACCTCAATTAAGTCTAATTTGGTCGTTGACATATTGAAAATCCATTCATGGGGAAAAAAATAGTGTTTTAAACAACTCTCTTAGTCATTAATTACATTTCCAGTACGTGATCTGTATCTGAAGTCTAGTAACAACAACAACAACACCATCTTCATGAGTATTTTACTACCAAAACAATATACACTATATATAAATATATACATAATATAAAATATATATGTAATACATTATATATATAATATATAATGACATAATGTATGTGGTCAGTAAACCTTGAGTTATGGTTTAAAGCTCTAATTTGCCTGATGAGGGTCAAAACTAATGCATGTCTAACACGGATCTCCATTTAGAGATAAATGAACAATAACCATGAGAGGAGAGAGGACAGGACATCATGTGTGATTGACAGCTGGACCCTCTAAATGGGCTGTAGACTTTTCATCAACAATGCCTTCAGTTGAATCAAACTTTTAAAAAAATAGAATAAAAACAACTGCCTCCATATTGAAATAGCCCCACCCAGTTTTTATAAACAACATGGATTTCTCTTAGGATTTAATCATTCCTCTACATACAGTAGATGATTTGGAGGTGACTACTCAAACCACAGGCCCATATTACACACAGCACACCTGACCCACTTGTTGGCAGACCACCGAAAAAAGGGCTCTGATCTGGGATGATTACCGTTCCTCCACATCAGCCAATGTTTAATTTGGATTCAAACAAACCAAATAGGCAAGTAAGCAAACAAGAGTCCATGCTCTGAACAAACCATGCACTGCCTGCTCTGAGCTCCCTGCTTTGTGCCCCCCTGGGGGTCCTTAGCCTTTAGTTTGAGAACCAGTGGCCTCCAGCAGCAGGATTAGCCAGACCAGCTGCCCAGAGAGACCCTGGGCCCTGGACACTGACACAAGGCCTGACCCCAGGGTGGCTACTATCAGGGACACTGAGGGGATCTGGGCAGCGCTCAGTGTGAATTTGAGTGTTGTTCATTCAGTCAGACAACTGTTGAGCCAGCTACAGATATGGGCAGCAGTGCTCTTTGTATGTGTGTGTGTGCATGCTTGTATGGTCAATTCTTTCCGGGGGTTAACTGCTGATCCAGTACAAATGGGAGGTATTGGGGGTAGGGCCGAGGGCAGTCCTGTGGTCCTGGAACATCTGCCTCTGTTTCTCCTGAGTCAAGCTTTGGTCAGGAAGAGCAGGGAGGGGAGGGAGGGGAGGGAGATATGGAGGCAATAGGGGTGGGGGGTGAGGAACCCGAAAAGAAGGAGGAGATTAAAGAAGAGAAGGATGGGTCAGAGTATGAGGGAGGGGGGAGAGAAATTGAAAAGGTTCAATGTCTTCAGTCAAGAAATCCAAACACTGACAACTGCAGGATGACATAACTCCGATCCCATTCCCAGTTGGTGTTTTTAGAAACAAAGAAGTTATGAGTGGAAATGACGGGCTTTGTCACATATGGTGTTATTACTCAATGTAACCACTGCTGTCAGATAACACTTCAGTGGACAACAATGGAGAACTGATGACTGTTATGGCACTGTAAAGTTTATTTCCGTCAAAATGACAAATACTTTGTCAGTCGAGGTACAACATATCCATTAGCCTCAGCAAACAACCATTATTAAATACAGTACAGTGAGCAGTGCATCTTTGTGAAGTTGACTAGTCTGTTAGACACCGTAAATGTTAAACGTATGTGTATGAAATCGACAAAAACAAAAAAAAAGAAGCTTTTAATGTCAGAAGAGTTATATCTCTAATTACTAAGATCTGACTGGTCCTCCGGTGTTTCACCACTCTTCAATTTGAATATAAATCTGTGGCTTTGCAGACACATGGTAAAGAGAATAACGGCAAGAGCAGATGTTGACCGAACATCTGTACACATCTACGGCCTTGGTTCCTAAAGAAAAAGTGGAATAAAATGACATAAAAAGTCCTGACAAAGAAAGAGGTCTGCAATTTGTGGGCCAAGTTCTGACTCTATGTGGTCTTCACCAGTCTGTTGGTCATAACTTTTCAATACAATCATTCAGTGCACATTTACAACTAAGCTCCACCCTTCCTGAGGATCAGTTGTCCGGGAGGGGTGGATTGTCCTCCCAGTCCATAGAGCATCTGGCTGGGGAACGACAGATGCTGACAGCTGGACTGACAGCCAGCATATGTCCCCTTTCTTTATTCCAGCTCTGGTCAGACAATAGAACTGAAGGGACGGGGGTGCTTTGTGTTAAGAAGGTAGACCTAATAGCTTGTGACCCTCCATTCTCCAGAAGAGCTTGGAGAGCAATTAGGCTGTCTCTGATCCTAGCCTGGAGAGTTATTACGGCAGGATGGGACCCACAAAACCCCCAAATGTTCATTCTCATTCATGACACACAAGAATGTTTGTTTATACAATGTGATGCCAGTAGTACTAATTCTACTGTCCAAAAGTCAAGGTTTACTGTAGTATATGTGGTGTTTTTATATCACAACAATATCACATCAAAACAGTGCTTTTATATCACAACAATATCACATCAAACTGGTTTAATTTATTTGCATCATTCCTTATATATACACTTTAGGTGGTTTGGGTCCAAAGTAAACACATGACGTTTGCAATTTATATGCTGTTAGTTCTAAATGAATGGTTTACTTTATCCATATCATCTGGTACTATTAGCTCATTAGCTAAACAGACAGACAGATTCTTCCGTATCCAAAATAACTTCGTCATGTCCTCAGATTGATTTAAATAAATCCATATATTTAAATAAAAATCTCTCTTTTTTTTATCAAACACGTCCTAATTTGACCTGACAGTCGACTGCGAGGGACGTTTACTCACGTGATGACGCAACACGCAGAGCGTGAAAACCAGGAAGTGACGTTTGTTTGCTATGGATGCTCAGTTGATAGCATAGCAGAGCGTAAAAACCAGGAAGTGACGTTTGTTTACTATGGATGCTCAGTTGATAGCATAGCAGTAAGGAATTGTTCTCCCGTCTTCTATTTAACTTGAGATTTTACACACTTACACTAAAATACACACACTTACAGATGTACATTGATATTAGCGTTGGTCTGTGAAGACATAACTCGCAGCTGCGTCGAAATTCATGGATTTTATCGGCTGGAGGCTACGCTAACTGTTAGCATTCATTTCCATACTGATTCAGTGTTGAACTGGGATACTTGAGATGTCGCCTTAATATTTTGACCTCACAATTAGGTTAATTTTAGTGATTGTTATGTGATTGTTATACTGCTCCTCTTCACTGCAGACATGGGTGTCAAAGGTCTTCAGGGCTTTATCTACAACTGCTGCCCAGACGTGTGTACCGCTGTGAACCTGAGGAGTCTAGCTGCACAGCATGTTGTCCAGAATACCGACACAGCCACAAGTGCAGGTAACAGGAACCTTTTTCCATTTTGGTGATATTTTTAATGATGTACATTTAAAATACTTTATGTTACGTTATATTATATATTATATAGTGTACTACTTTTTCCCATAATGCGTGAAGGGGACATGATATTTGCTATAAAATTGTCCTGCTACTCTTCATCCTCATATGTTTGGATTTCCCTTCCAGGTCCCACACTGGTTGTGGATGGGATGGCCTGTTTGAGACATTGGTACAGATGTAAGAACTGGGTTTGTGGAGGTCAGTGGAAGGAATACGTGGATATCTTGAGGAACTGGGTGGAGGCCTTTAAATCTGCAGGCATCCGACTGGTGTTCATCTTTGATGGCGTGGTGGAAGAAAAAAAAAGGCAAGAATGGGTAAGTCACACACACTAACATTCTATCATGTTTTTTTTTACTTCATTTCAAAATTTTGTTTATTAGTATTTTAAAATATCGTATGTATTCCAAGACTCTCATTCCACTTTTGATAAAGTAGTGATGAATATCCTGCTGTGCGTCTACAGGTGAAGAGGAGGCGCAGAGTAAACGGGGAAATTGCTAAAATATTTCGTCACATAAAGACACACGGAGAGCAGCCTGATAAAGAGCTTTTCTGTCTGCCCTCTGGTCTGTCAATGTTCTCATGCTTCGCTCTCAGGTAATCATTCATATAAATTATAAAAACTATAGAAAATAATAAACTAAATTTTTAAGATTTCCTCCACAGGTCATTGGGTCAGGAAGTGTTCTGCTCAGTGACTGAGGCTGACCATGAAATTGCCAACTATGCCCATGAGCATGGCTGCATGGGAATCCTGGGACAGGACTCAGATTTTATTATATACAACAGGTGAGTTATTTTTCAGATCGTGTTATTTTTATTTTATAGGGTTAACAGATCGTGTTATTTTTATTTTGTAGGGTTTTTTTTCAAATTTTTCTAATTCTAATTTCACTGTGAATTATGTTTACAGACTAATTTTAACACACAAATTGTAAACTGTTCTTTACCCTTTTTTTGCAGCTATTTTCTATTACCGTTTTTACAAATGTTGATCAAAGCAGTAGCTGTTATCTTGGCTTGTAATTTCTAGGCTAACTTTAAAATCAAACATTGGGACATTTAACCTCTAATGACATCTAAAGACCCAGTTTGTTTTATGTGTCTTTTTTCAGTGCCCCTTACTTTTCGGTGGAGAAGTTGAGAATAAACAGCCTCACCACCATCCTGTACGACAGACAGAAGTTTTGCCAAGCTGTTGGACTGACTGTTAACCAGCTGCCACTGCTGGCTTGTATACTTGGTAATGATGTGGTATCACAGGAGCAGATGCAGCACATCAGGAATAGAGCACTGGCAACACACAGGTAATGAGGTTTGTATGTATTGTAGTTGATGCATACACATCTATACAAATGTGTCACTAAGTCCATATAAAATGTTTTCTATAGCTGGTCAATAAATGCATTCCCATAACTAGTTTTTGTACATAGTTTTATCTATATCTATTTATTTATATTTATCTGAATTGTATATATTCTATATTGTATATATTGCTTTTCCTTTTATTTCTGCTGTGTTACGAACCATGGCATGAAAAAATTCTTCTCGATGTGATTCAAAATGACACATATTCTGTATCTTATTACTTAATGTTTTCTGTCACTTTTGGCAGCAAAAATGTAAAATTCGACACACATCTTTGTGTTCTAACATTATGTTCTGACCATAATTGTTTCCCAGGGAAAAGCATTCCATGTTGCCCTACAATGCTAAGGGGCAGCTTGTCCTGGCAGTATCTGAATTTGTGAGATCTTTGTGGGGCAGCGAGGAGACGAAGCTGGGTGACATCCTGCAGGCTCTGGATTTATCCGATTCTCAGAGAGAGCTGCTGAAGAAAGGGATCAAGTCGTATTTACTACCTGGACAGGAAGCACTTGACAGAGATGACGTCTCTGTACGCCCCTCTGCCTGTGCCTTCCAGAAATACGTCAGTCCAGAAATATTTAAGGTACGTTTCGCCAACATGTACTCAGTGTTGTGTAAGTGCCCGAAATTCTCTGTCACATTGGCCGTAATTTATCTGCCGTGTGGTTTCCGCAGGCATGCAGAGAGAAGCATGTAGCAACAGAGGGTTTTATGGTTTACCTTGTTGTGTGCGAGGGAGTCATTGAATGCAGCAACACTTTGGAGGATGAGGAGGATTCTGAACTGATACCGCAGGCTCTGGTCTACAAACCCTGCAGACGGAACATCTACGGACTGCTCCTGGGCTCTGACGGTAGGACTGAGAGGAACTGTAGAGTGGAGTGCTGTGCAGAATGTTTTGGTCTTATTTATTTGAAAAATACAGAATACATATAAAGAAACAAATTGATATGACAGTTTTTATCATATTTATAATTAACATACTGTAGTTCAAGGCAACAAAGAGCACAATATGACAGCATATTTATAATTAACACACTGTAGTTCAAGGCAACAAAGAGCACAATTTGTTTTAAAAATCAGATCACACTTATGTGATAACGGGAAGAAAAGAAACTTCCTTTAACTGGAGAAAAAAACTTCACAGATCCACACACCAGCAGAAAACAATCTTTAAATTAGTATCTCTATAGGAATTGCTGCTGATATGAACAAGCGATTAATCTCCTGTTCATTCACTTGACATTTTAATGGTTAAAAACAACAACAATGTTTTTTTACTTCACTTTGGTATTCCCCAAAAAAGTAAAAGTTTTGTGAAGTCCAGAACAACACAAGGATGTAGAGGGAAAATAAACTCATGAGGTTTTTGTGTTTTCAGGCAGCTCTGTTGACCCTCCAGTGATTCGTGAATGGTTTGTTTACCCGGGAAACCCTCTGAAGGAACCGGACTTAGTTCCACCTGCTCAGCTCAGCCTGCCACGTACGGTATCTGTCACTGAGCTTAAAAACAAAACAGTTCAAACTGGGACATTTACATTACCGACATCATCATCCAACCACACTCTCAACACTTTGACATTTGTAGACGGTCGTCCCAGTCTGGACTTGCTGTGGTTCGGCGCTGGTTCTGACGTTAGTTCCCTCCGCTTGATGACCTTTCTTGCCATTTTCGACTGCCAAGAATTTTCTGATCTGCATGGAACCGTTGAGGTGTCGCTGCTGGCTGCCCTGTGTTTGGTGACCTATATTGTCAGACAGGTAATGTTATCTGTTACCACCTGTGTTTGTTAGCGTTCATGTGACAATGTTTTGCTAAATTATCTTATCTGTGATTGACTTTAACCCCTTTTTTTCCAATGGTTATCTTTGCTAGTTTTGGGCTAGGCTAGTTCTATCGTCAGGCTAATATTTGGGGTTCCGTTCACTATATTTAGCCAACCATGGTTCATTTCTTTACACTTTTTATTGTAAAATTTGATGTCAAATTTCACATAATTCTTTTTCTATCATGGCCATAAAGTTAGTGCACTCTTTGATCATCTTTTAGTCATATTTGACAAATTGTTCCCTTTTTGTTCAGTTGCCAGCTAACTATTTTGTTGCTAATTTATGTTTTATTTAATAATAATAACAAAACAAAACCCTGTTGTTTCTCAAAGTTTTGAATCACATTAGATGTGTTTTCATTCAAAGTGATGGCTTCACGGAAGATGATTGATGTCTGCATGTTTGGCCTAATCTACAGTCTTCGAATGTTGTGGTTGAACACAATGGTATCACGTTTGTTTTCAGACATTTTCGCCAAGATAATGTCAGTGTGTGTTTGTTCAAGATTTGTTGTAAACAGAGGTTTAAAGACTTAAAGTAATTTACAACGAATTAACTACACACGTCAGCTTTTCAATTAGGATTTGCATCTGCAACGCTCACAACAGTGATTTAGTTCTTTTGTGACCTTGTGATGTGAAGTGAAACTTGTTGACGTCTGTGATGTGTCCCATTGTCGTGGCTTGATGTCAACCATTATCACCCACTGAGCGGCCAGTTTAGCCACAGACACTGGGCTTTTTAAATGAAGCCCATATGTCAACAAGAGCTCCGAAAACCACACACAAGAGCTTTGAATATTTCAAAAGAGCTTGAATTCACTTCACTTCTGCTCTGTTTTTGTTGTGGTTGTAAATTGCAAAGTACAAACATGTGTGCTCGTTGTGATCCAGCCCTCGTGATTGTGCAAAGTATGTGAAAATAGCAGAGGATTTTTGTTGTTTATACGTTGTTGGCACTGACGCCGGCTGATGGATCTGAAATCAGAGCCGACATCAGACGTTTGGACGATGTTAGTGGAGGATACTGCATCACTGGACACAAGACAAACAGGAATTATTGAGAATGATTTATAATCTCTGCAACAAATTGACTGAGAGAAGCAGTGCTCTGCAGTGGTTTCCATCTTCTTGTAACCCTATTTTTATTTCAAATGGTGGTAATTTGTGAAAAAATCAAATTCAAATCATGTCCCCCTGGGGCAGGAAATTAAACAAAAGTTAAAGCTGTTAAAACTAAATTTCTTGGAAAACAGTTGGAATTTTCTTCTCCTTGATGAACGTTTGGATATTATTCTCTGTTCATATTCTTTAAGCCAGTGGTCCCCCTCCCTCCTCCCCCCAGCATTTACACATTCACAGCTATTGCTTCAAATTTCAAAAAAATTAAAACACTGTAACCACCACAAACCTGATACTCTCATTGGACGAAAAAAAACACACATCTGTGCAGTGTCACACAGATGTGTCAAGACTATGAAAAAATATTTTAGTTGAAATAATTTGCCTTGTTGCACCTGCCTGTTGACTCTGGAGACCCCACCCCCCATCTTGGGGACTTACTGGTTTAAAGTACTCTTTAGCTTATTTTTAACTGCTATTTTCTTCTCTACGTACCGTGTCGTTGGCTGACTCGCAGCTACGTACCTCTAAAGCCTTTTTTTGCGGCACCACTGAATTCTGAGCAGCAAAATGTCAACAGTTTGCAGACATTTCATCCAGACAGTGAAAAAAAAGTCATTCAAATGCAGCAGTCAGAGCAGCAGCCTGTTAGACAAGTGGACAATCAAAGACACGGCAGACAACAGTAGCCGTTGTTGTCTCATTACTGCTGCATTCAGGCTGCGCGCTCGCTCGCCTTCTATTCAGTAGCTGCAGGGTTTGTTTGTTATGAACACAGGAGTGAGCAGCCACAGTTGCTGTATTTAGCATTGTGTCTTTCCCGGTGGAGTTGTTACACAGGGAGCAGACAAAACAAATACAGCCACACAAAGGTCGAACTTTCTGACTATATATATTTACCAAATATTTACCTCGTCCGTCGTGTCTGTTTTCTGTTTATTGTGTTTTTATTGCTGTAGTCAATGCAAATCACCCCCAACTCCCTCTCATGACCAAGGTTTTAATGATGTTTTACCTTAAATTTTAAACCAAAATTTAAAACAAATTTATTGAAAACAGCAATTAACAATTAACAGCAATTGTTCGTGTTTTCCCTTCTCTCCAGATCTGTTATGTAGAAGTTTTTTCATATGAAACAAACTTTAGTTTTGCGTAAACGTTAGATCTGGAACAACCAAAGCTTAATATTATAAACACACGAGAAATTAAATATATTTGTTTCCTATTATGTCTTTTTATCTGTAGCCTTTCAGGTTCTTTTTAATTTAAATATTTTCTTCACAGGCCAAATATATATGCCAGTATATAGAGGCTACATACTGTTGGGCCAACTCTAGTACACAGTTGATAAGATCTCACGGGCCAAATATAATTACACTGTGAGCCAGATTTGGCCCCCGGGCCTGAGTTTGACATGTGTGCCTTAAATGAAATAATTTAATTTAATTTCTCTATGTGTGTGTTTTATCAGGTGACGTCTGTGTCTCAGGAGGATGTGGATGCTTACCTGAGTCAGTGTGTCTGTTTGGGACAGAGATCATCTCAGGACCTCCAGCAGATCAAGGTTAGTGGGAAAATAATTAATCAACCGTCAAAGACCTGCTAACTTGTATCAAAATTAGAAAAGACAAAACGTCTTTCACACCAGTTTACAACCTACAGTCTTAGGACTGAAACTGAATTCTTTTCAAATGTTCTTTCAGTTTAAATACTTGAACAGATTTTCATTGAAGACAAAACAAAATCAGATGAAGCTAAATCAAAAGTTTAAATATTTGAACAGATTTTCATTGAAGACAAAACTTCAATGGAATTGTATTTTTTTAATGTTTTTTTTTTCATTTTGACCCACATATGACATCACCCAAATGCCTTTGTTTCATAATAATTTAGAATGTATTTAAGAATGTTGTAAAATGCAGTGTAGTTGTATTTAAGGTCCATTTAAATATGTGATCGGTACCATTCCTGTAGATAACACAATGCTAATAAAGTGCTCTCTGCTGCGCCTGCATATTCATGACTACAGCTGTGAATTAACATCCAATCAAAACTCAGCAGAGACCCTGAAATTGTCAGGGCAGCAACAACGCGGTCTCCTGCGCTTCACCGCTCTGTGGGAAAACGTCCGTGCTGTTCGCTGCCTCGTTGTAGCCCCATTTATTTTTACAGCTTAATTACCATACTTACTCCTAGTAATTTGTATTTTTGCTGCCTGTCTGTTTGCTACACAATAATTAGGGCTGGGCGTTGATTTGATTATGCTGTCTGAAAGAAGTAGAGAGCTGCAGGGAGGGGGGAGTTTACTGAGCAACTACTGTAGGGATTACTTAAACACACACACACACACACAAACAAGGCTATTTTTCCTAACCTTTGACTGTGTTATTTATCAGGGCTACACTCTTTGTAGCCATTTTGGCTAACTTGAAAGCCTAAACTTCAGTACATATTTTCTTTTTTTGCCCTATTTGTATCCTACATTTAAGTCTTTTTTAGCCTGATTTAATTTTTTTTTTTCAGAAATCCCTCGGTTCTCTTTGTCAATGCTAGCTTTGTCAGCTATTTCCGTAGCTAACTTTTAACAATCTCTCAGCTTTGAAGCAGTTTTATTTTTTGACTAAGTTGTTACCTATTAAAAATCTAATATTTTACCTGCTTCTAGGCTAATTTTGCTGCCCTCTGGCTAACATTTAGCTCTGTTTAATCTAAAACTTTAAAGAACAGTAAAACCATGTCAAACAGATGTTGGTCAATACTAACTACTATAAACAGTAGTCCAATCACGCGGCCTGGCTGAGCTGTAATTGTAACTCTCTCTCTCTCTCACTGCATGTCTCTCTGTCCCTCTTTTGTCTCTTCCTCATGACGTAGTTGTTGTTCTCTCACCCTCTGTCTCTTCATCCTGCTCTCGATCTCTTCTCTCTCTCCTTCCCTTTTGTGTGATGTTTGTGTGCTTCAGCCGAGCTTTTGTGTCTCCGTCGAGTACTTCATTGTTTTCTGAAGGTGAAGCTGTGTTTGACTGGAAGCAGGTGGCAGGCTGGGCTCTCTGTGTGAGTGTGTGTGTGTGAGTGTGTGTGTATACAGGTAATCCCTGTTATCAGTGCTTGGTTCCAGGGAACAGGTGACGGCAGAAAACACACACGGAGAACATCTGCCTGCTGTTATCATCGGCATCCATCCTCCATCATTATTCTTTTCTTTATTGTCCTCCGTCAGGGTCTTCTTTGTGCTCCCCTCTCGTTTTACTGACTGTAATGGTCATTATCAGTGTTTTGATTGGTCAGATGAGGCGCAGACGTTCAGATAGAGGTTTATTGATGGTCCCAAAGAAGCAGATTTGTCTTCACAGCACTTGATTCTGTGAGCGTGATGGTGTTGGTTGGTTTTAGTCAAATGTTTGTTATAAACTGGTCACAGAAAGTTGTAGTTTGTACATGCTGTCTGAGTGTGTTTTTGCTTAAAAAATATAAATCTACGCTTGATTAGAATTGCTTTTCAAGACAGAAAAATAAAAATCATGCATAAAACTTTTATCATCATGGACCACATAAAGCGATGTGTCGGGCCACATTTGGGCCACGGGCCTTGAGTTTGACACGTGTCTTTGTTGTTTCAAGAATCACCAGTCCTCTGATAAAGATGAATACAAAACCAAAGTGTTCTAACCTTCCTGTGTTCTCAGCTGCCCTACATCTGCAGTCGTGCGGTGCAGCTGGGATCTCTCTACGTCCGAGGTCTGAACCTTCTGCTGGGAGCTAACTGTGCCAGCGGCTCCCCGCTGCCCAATGCTGCCCTAATGCCCTGGCACATCTTCGACGGACAACTGTTCCACTCCAAATACCTGCTGGCACATGGTGGTGCAGAGCGTCCCCTGCTGCTGGACAACGACGTGAGTAATTGATGGTTGTACGACAGATACAGGAACTTTTATTTGTTTATTTTCTTTTAATTCAATTCAAGCGATAATATGGCACAGTGCACTTCTAACAGCCAATGTCAACGCTTTTAAAGTATCTTCAAAATGTTGGTAGCGGACGACACATTTTTGGTGTTTGTTCATGACACTACAGCGATGCTGGGTTTCAAACCGGCAATTGTGTGATCAGAAGAGAAGTCTGTCCATCACTCAGTCACATTTGGATTTTATTCGTTGTATATATAATAAAAGGAAAACTGTGTGTTTCACCTGTGCTCTCAGGCCTCGTGTCTGTCCTCGTTTCTGCTCCTGAGAGAGAAACTTACAGAAATCTGCAGGAAGAGAGGCCGAGTCCTGGAGTCCAGACCAGACGCAGGAGCTCAACGTCATAGGAGCAGAGCAGGACCTGCAGACAGAGAGAGACAGACAGGTGAGACATGAGTGAGTGAGACTAGAGACATGACATGACAGACAAATGAAATATTAGATGTTATCGTGTACTTTTCGTAACTAGTATTACAGTTGTTTTTCTTTTATTAAAAAGTGACTTACCTGTTCTGTCTAATATAGAATTATTATCGTGATCATAATTGTAATTAGTGTTAATATTATCGCTATTATTTACAATAATCATTCATTATGATTAAAGATGCACTGATGGAACTGTCCAGTTTTGACCTGTCCAGTTCTGGCCTTTAGCTCCAGTTTAATATCTGAATAATTTTATTAATTTAAAAAAAAATCACAAATTAATTATTAACATCAATGCCTAAGAATTTGACAATTTTTTTTTTCAGATTTCATGTGATTAAATACTTTTCTTTTGTTTCGTGCCTGTCTGGGATTGTTTCTTCTGTGCTGTATTTCTGTTCCATAATTATGCAGCCAGCGCTGGTTTGGAAATAGACCGAGACCATCCTGGTTACACAAAGGTCAGATACAGACAAACATTTTGACCTGAGCTCAGAAATCCGGCATTGTTTTCGGGGCATGTTGGTGGCCTGGTGGTTCGAGGCCGACAACCACCATGTGCAAATTTGATACAAGACGTCAACACGGAGGCACAAACTCAGTAGGATTTGACAAAGTGAAATGATGCTGTGTCTTATTTCCGTCCTCCAGTGGTTGCGTTTGTGTGTTTTCCACTCGGTCTGTGAACACAGACATGAAGATCTCGCTCTGATCACAACTCCCCGATGAAAACCTGATGAAAATGCAAATGTAGCTTGAACAGAGAACAAACATCACAATCTGAAAATGTGATCTGCGGTTGTAGTCTCCTGGTGTCCCTCAAGGAACCACATTACCCAGAGGGCTGTGCTGTAACCAGCTCCATGTGTGCTGCGGCCTTGGTGCATGCCACAGTGTGCGTGTGCACCCACACAAAAGTCGGCGTGCACTTTTGGGCCCGAGACTTTGCCTCGTCAGTGCGCTAGTAATAGTAGCTTTCTGTTTATAGGCCGGGGGAGATCTATTTTAAGACACACAACAAGACTAAGTGATTACAGGCCTGTCTCCCCCGTCTCCCCCCTCCCTCTGCTCCCCTTCCCCTCAGTCATTCCCTATCATTCTCTATCTCCCGTCAGCTTTTGGCCCTGTTTCTGTTCATGTAGCCGTCTTGTTTCCTTTCGTTCAGAAAGAATAATTGAAACCAACTTCTGAGCATATTCAACAGTGTTGCTGTCAGTGGTAATGAACTAATTAGGTCTTTAAATGTGCTAAATTAAATAAAGATTCCAGCTGTAGAAGACGCTACGATTTCCTAAAGATAACAAGTATGTTTTGCAGCTCAAACATAACAAACGATTAAACAAAAAATCTGTTAAAATTCCAAGGAAAAAAGTAAAATTTGGCATAAAGTATTTGATGACAAAATACTTCTTTAGTAGTTTAACAATCTAACATTTTTTCCACTTCCTCCAGTGCAGAATTTCACAGTTTCACCTCAGTGACAAAAGTTGATCTGAATTATTTTGATTTTGAAGCATATGTGAAAATGTCCTGTATCTGGGTTTGAAAGTATTAGTATTTGTGTTGTACACGTGGTTAAAATGGCCAGATATTGATAAACAACTTTTTGAGAACACTTTTCTCTCAGGCCGTGTTGGTGTCGAGGCTGTGATTTGTGTCTGTTTCTTTCCCCCACGTCAACCCTTGTGGCTCTCACCAGGATGTTTCTGGTTCCAAAGATGGAAGGCTGCGCTCTTTATACCTTAGCGTTTCATTTCTGCCAGACACAGACACCAATCATTACTAGAGAATTGTGGGGATATCGTGTGGGTGTGTGTGTGCGGAGGACAGAGCTCGTGTGTGCGTGAGAGTAGTGGTGGCGCTATGTGGTATGGTTGAGGGCCCGGTTTGGTTTTTCTTTGGATTCAGGCCTGATGTTTAGTCTCTCCAGCACATACCTCCTCTGCCCGCCTGCCTCTCAACGCACTGAAACAGTGCAGCCAATAACACTGCTCCCTGAACACCTTACAGTTACAACAGACCAAAAGGAAACAGTAACGGTTTCATAGTGTAGCTGTTAGCACGCCTGAGTCGGGAGCAGAGAGAGGGTTTGATTCCCAGAGGAACCACATACTTGGTGCCTGTCGCAGCAAATCTGCTGTTAACACGAGAATTTCACAAATATGGGATCAATAAAGTTTATATTAGTATGATTAATTATAATAATAACAATTATCATTGTTAATTTATTATTATTATTAATATGATTAATAATAATAATACCACCGTCCCCACACACTGCTCCATGGGCGCTCCAGCTGCCACCCTGTAGTTCACTTTCACTTCACATTCAGAACTTTTGCTTTGACAACTCACTACAAATGTGTTTGTGTTAAGACTGGCACTCTGGTGGAAGACAGCACTGGAGGGAGAGGGGGAGGGGGAGAGGAGAGACGATGGGACAGCCTCCACACAGAGGAGGATGGAGAGACCGAGGCGAGTGTGGAACACAAGAGAAAAGCTGGAGACGAGGCGATGGTCACGACTTTCACCCTCACGTTCACCCACAGAGCCACGGCCCAGGTCCACACAACACCAGTCGACCCCCCCAACAGTACCACTCACATCGCAGCAGGGGGCGTTACCAACGAGGCCCTCGGTAATCAGGACATAGGGAAATAATTCCATTTGAGATGACTGTGTCTCTAACATATCGTCCCTCTGCTTCCAGGTGGACTCAGCCTCCCGCTCCAGGAACATGACACGGGGGATTAAAGGAGAGAGATTCAGGAGTTAAGAGGATGGGAAAAAAAACATGATGAAAGCAGAGAAAGAATCAAATTTCTTTGAACAAACTGATTAGTGAGGGAGGGGTTTGTGTCAACGATGCTCATGGCAGAGATTAGGACGGGTCGGTGAAGAGAGGGAGAAGGAGGAGGAAATTTATTTTGCTTCTTTAAACTGAATTTTCTGTTTGTCTTTAAAGTGGCTTCACTTTTAAGTCCCTTTATCTTTGAGGAAACGTCTTACTTTGACTCTGTGAAATGTGCCACATCAGCCTCACACTGTGGAAGAGCGCGCAGCCAATCATCGGTTAATCCTCAGCTCTTATCTCTGACAGTAAAAGGCTGAGATCTTAAAGCTCTGTGTGTTCTCTGACAATATCCTTTCAAAGGCACAGTTTTAGGTAGAATAACAGTAACTGAATATCAGCCCGAGCCGACCATCAGTACTGCGTCTGTATACAGTACACCTCCATAAAGTGTAACTAGAGACCTTTCTCACCAATCAGTGATGTTTGGAAGAAAATATAGAGCTTCTTTTCTTGCAGTATTGCATTAGTGAACAATGGGAAAACAGCCCAGTCATTGTGTCGGAATAATGTTGGTGAAAATGGGCTAAAAAAATGCAAAATGATTGGGTTTGTTTTATTGTCTGCCACATATGGACTCGATACTATTTTTTAAAAAACAAACAATTTGATTTTCACTTGTGCACTGATGTGTACTGATACTCCATTAATATGCAGTGAACCAAAGGACAGTGTTATATACACTCAGTGTTTAGACCCAAGTCCATGCCAAACCACAGTGAGGACAGCAAGCAGGAAAATGTTCACAGCCAGTTTTATTTTCTTCTCATTAACAGAAAAAATATTTTAAGCCTAAAAGTGAAACAAGTTGTTCTGTATTTAACAAAAAAAGTATTCGCATCAGACAATGTTTCCATGAGAGACAACGAATCAGTAAAAACAAAGGAAAACATAAATAAAAGTAATGTTAAAATAAAGATTTCTGCTCAGTTGACACGGCCAACTGAACAGACAATTTAAAAAAAACATAATTTTTTTTACTTGATGTGACATAATATTTTAAGTCAAATAAACAAATATTTTATAAATTCCTGGTATTGTTGTGCTACTGACGTGATGTGAACACAACCAATGGATGTCAGTATTTCACTGATGTTGTTTTATGTTGGGGTTCAGTAGCGTCTGTTCTTTCCCTTCTTCAACATTTAAATGAGGTGTAAATACCTGGTTTAAATGCACACAATCTCATTACAAATGCTTTGCAACATTTATTTATTTATTTTTATTTACCAGACACCGTTGTTGTTTGTTTAATTGTGAAGAAGCTGTGTGAACTTCACGCAGACGGTCACATTCCTCCGTCAGTCGGGAGAAATGTGACTGGTTGTAGTACAAGCGAGAAGGCCACACTATTCCAATTGATGTGAGAAATTTAGAAGACCTCAACAATTACTGCGGCTGCAGCAGTTTGATTACTGCAGAGACGGAGTCTTTGTAGTGGGTTGTGACTAAAGTGCCTCCTCCCTGACCGTTCTTTCATCCAGTAGCTGCAAGAAACAACAGCGTGTGACTGTTTGTGTGTGTTTTTTTTTTTTACCGACTGTGGTGAGTGGAGTGGGAGTGGGTTGGCATGTGCCTTTGGAGGATGGGGAGCAAGGGTGTGGCGTCCTAACTTGGGTCCAGTCGCCCCTTTGAGTAAATAACAAAAACAGAGGAGGAGGAAAAGAAGGGGGAAAGAAAATGAAGCAGGGAAACGAAAGAGTGGGGACATGTAAACAGTTGGCACAGAAAAGTGAGGAAGAGAGAGAGAGAGAGAGGAGTGGTCGGTGGAGAGGTGGAGACTAAGAATAGACAAAACAACAGAAAAAGAGTGGAGGTGATTAAAGCGGGAAGACAGTAGTCCAGTCCAGGCGGTAGTCTTGCCACAACCACAGGAAACCCAGTTGGCTGCCCAACAAATCAGCTTCCTGTGTGTGTGTGTGTCTGTGCATGTGTGTGTGGTGAAGTACTGGGCGTCGTCCCTCCAGCAGCAGGGACACAAACAGTCAAACACCCTTTCCAGGCCTCCTCTTCCTCCTTCTCCTCCATCCTTCTCCTTCCTGGGCCTGGTTCGGGGCCTTTCCTCTCTGGTGGATGTCGTTCAACAGTCTGTCCAACAGAGCCGTTCTCACTTTGTCACTGAGTCTTATCTAAACTCCCTGAGGTTTTTTCTAGTCCTACATAAACCGTGCAGTCTGGCCACACCAATCCCATGGAAACCACAAAACCACTTTAAGAAGCTTTATTCCCTCGCTCAGCTCCAGACATTGTTTTTTTTAAGGTGTGAAAAACAACTCTGTTGTTCAGGAGTAAGTCAAGATGCTCTGAGACAATTAAAAAAAAACTTCTGTTTATATCCGTTATTTAATTCTAAACAGTTGAGGATTTTGATGGATTAAAAAAAACAACTTGTTTCTGTTTATATCCATTATTTGATTCTAAACAGTTGAGGATTTTGATGGATGTTTTTGACACCAGGTCACAAACTGCTACAATATCTTTTTCAAAATCATGTTAGTATTTGCTGCGGTCCAGTCTCATTCCATTCATACAGTTGTGCTTTTTACCCAATGTGCTGTATGCTAATTCATTTATAATTCATTTTATGTTGTCTGTTTGGCATCTAACGTTTTTTTTTCTCTCTACAACTCATAGTTTCAAAGTTTTGTTTCCAATTTCACCACCAGACCTGGTGTATACAAGCTAACTCACTAAATAAACAGGGATAGTTAGCTTAGCAGCCTTAGCTTAGCAGCCTTAGCTTACATATGGTAAACTACCTTCCTACAGAACTCAGTATCAGTATAGTAACCAGTCAAAGAAATCTGAATGTTCTCTTCTGAGAAGAAAATACACCCTGCTGATAAAGTTTAATAACTTGTTCACCGTAAAACACTTCCCCAGACTCGGTTGGTACTTTCTATTATCGTTAGCATCCAGCTCTATTCTTACTGTATTAGCATTCACATTTCTTTATTTCCAGGATTTTAAACCTATTTAATGGACAAATCAGCCATGTTGAAGCCGCCTCAGCTCCAACAAGTCTTTAGCACAGTTAAAAAAAATGTACCGTTTAAACTGTGAGGCCCATAAAGGTAGCATTTGAGTTAAAGCAGCAATTTGCAGTGACACGACTCTGCCCGTACAATTATAACATTTACGGTGTAAATGTGAGCGCAGGCAACAATTTTTCTGCACCATAACAACACTTGTTGACCCCCAACAATCCAGTTGTTATAGGAGATAATGCTTATTATTATATGACTGAAGACAAATGGTTCAGTGCGTTAACAAGTACTCTGTGTGACACTGATGGTAGGTTGGGGTTCCTCACATGCAGAGTCAGCTTCAGAGGAGAGCGGTGTTTGAACATCAAGGTGAACTTTATTCTACGTAACATCATTTAAACAGTAATCTATTGAAACTAAACCTTTATCTGTATTTTTATTTGTTGCAGGAGAACTCTACAGGAAGGAAACCCTAAAAGTCTCAGGTATTTTTCAAATTAATTTCTTCATAATGAAGAAAATAATATTTAGTATATTATAATCCAGTTACTGAGGAGTTTCATACTCCTTGGTGTGGATAAATGCAAATACAGTGACAGTCAGTACTTAGAGGAGGTTGTCTTTAATCTTCTAATCTTCTAATCCAATGGATAAACAGATCATTTACCAAGTCGAGTCAGTTTTATTTGTTCAGCTCAAATTCACTGGAGACATTGAGCCAAAGACAAAATAATCTGGCCAATGGATGGATGGATGGAACAATGACCTGCTTTTTGACAGTCAATTTTCCTGTCATTTTTTCCTGTTTAGATTCACATACACTTTGTGGAGACCAGAAGACACTGGTGGAGCGGCCTCACTGCTGGACGTGGCTCATGTTGACATGCAGTCCAGGAATCTGCTGAAGAGAGGTACTGGATGAGTTCTGTTGTTATGTCATGTCCGGCCTCCAGTCAACTGAACCAAATGATTAAATCACCCTGGATTATTCTGTGGTCTTTGTGAGAACAGTCTTTGAAACCAGATTATTATGCAGTTTCCTTCATTTCAGTACACACTCATGTAATGTGTTAGAACGTGTAAAGGAAGAGGCCTGGTCACAAACATGGCTTCACTGGGTTTTTGTCGTCGTTTGTCGTCAGTTTTACAGAAACATGGACCAAAGTGAAACAAGGATCCAAAAATACACAGAGCCATAGTGACCAAATATAACCCTGCTGTATTTACTGCAGCAGTGGATTCAAATTTAAACTGCTTTCTTTAGCCAGGGCCAAAACACAGAGGGAACATCTCCAAGGCTGGTGTTTGTGGGAGCCATGTGAGGGCTCCAGACTCCTGACTAATAACCTGTATTTAGTGGAAATGGGGGAGAGAGGAGGTTTTAAGAGAAAGACTGTGAAAAAGAAAAGCAGAGAAAAGTGATTAGAGTCCAGGAGAGAAGGAGAGACAGGGATATTTGTCATCTGGTCTGAGGCTGCTCCTGTGGATTTGGCCTTCACTGTAAGGACTGGGGTTTGATGCTGTAAGAGACGAGACTCATCATCACACAGTAGAGATACTGAGGTTACTGAAGGAACTGAAACTGAAAGACTTTTAGATGATTTCCTGGAGTTGAACCTGGAGCTGGAAGATTCTAGAGAGGATTAGTGGATGGATGATAGGACAGATGGATGATGGATGGATGAATAGGAGGCTGATGGATGGATGCTAACCTAGATGGATGGCCGTGATGAACTGAACAGTTAGGACAGTTGGGCAAACTACGGCCTGGGGGCCGGAAGAGGCCCGTTTGGATTTTTAATCCGGCCCACTAAACTTGTCCAAATTATGTTATTCATTTCTATTTTCATCGCCCCCCCCCCCCCGTTTTAGTTCACACAAACACTTCATCTATCTGCTCCTGACCGCCCCCCCCCCCCCCCCCTGTTAGATTTTAGGACCCACTGTGGCCCGCGAGTCAAAAAGTTTGCCCAAACCTGATCTAACATGTGGAAAGAACCTGTTGTAGAACGTGGTTGTTGAGAATCCTCTCAGACTGAGAAAACACTGCGTGATGGTCACATGAGGAGTCAGTGATGACGCTTTCAGCTCGCGTCAGACGGTGTTTGACAAAAAAAAAAAAATCTGAGTGACACGATAGAGATGAGATCACGGGCAAACTGGTGTGAATGACTTCCTGAGAGTTCACAGAGTGATCCAACAAACTGAATCTACAAACGTCTGTGATTCAAAAAATCCTTTCTCTGAAGAAGCTACACCAGCGTCACATCAGCATTTACGGCCTGTTTGTTTTCCTCCGTCAGTGTGTCTGTCCATTTCCCACCCTTCTTCTGTTTCTTTTCCATCTCCTCCTTTATTTTCTTCACCTCCATCGCTCTCTCTCTCCTGCACATCTCCACCCACCCCCTCTCCTATCTCTCTGTCCTTGAATGAATGCTCTTTGACTAGAGGAACATATGCTGCTGGTTGTTCAATACCCTCCCTCTGTGTGTGTGTGTGTGTGTGTGTGTGTGTGTGTGTGTGTGTGTTTTGTTTCCTATAAATGCCCAGTTCTTTCAGGCTTCCTTGATATATATTTTTTTCAGTAACATTAATTCTAATTGTGAATAAAAATGGTTTCTATTTAGACAGGACTTTATATCTGAAGCTGTGGTTAAAGTTCAGATTGCAGTTTGGCTGTAGTTTGGGTTAAGTCTTAACTAGTTATTTTGGTTTAGATCATTGATAAGGTTTGGTTTAGGAACAGCTGCACAAATGAGTGGAATTCTTCAAAGAAGCTGTTGCCGCTGTGTTAATCGATGAATAATTTTGTTTGCTGTCATGCTAGGTTAGCATTAGCATTAGAGACGATGTCCTTCACAAATCACATTTGTTTCATTGGACTATTTTAAATAACGATTGAAATTGAACTTTAAAAAAAACAAACAAAAACAAAAACCCATTTTATATTGAGTTTGAATGAAAGAAACTAAAAAACAAAAACAAAACCCCATTTTATATTGAGTTTGAATGAAACAATTCATTTCATTTAATCAACATGTAAGAATTCCTGCACTCTGCCAGTCAATTCCTAAACATGAGTGCACACACACACACACACACACACACACACACGGGGGTTGTTTGATGGACTATTTGACAGAATGGACCGTTGCCACGGTTACGGCAGCACTCCATCGGTCCATTCAAGCAACAGATGGCCGATGTGCAACAGGAGGCATATGTTTCAATGAAGACACACACACACAGATAGGGAGAGAGAGTGACACAGAGAGAGAGAGAGAGAGAGCTACACGGCCATATTTGTTAGGACTCTCCTCTTGTCGTTCTTCTTTCAGAAATGCTAACCTAAACTTTAGCTTTACACCTCTACTACAGTCAGTAAAGATCGACCTTTGACCTGAAAAACTCCAGTCAACTTCCTCTTATTTTTCCCTGTCTTCAGAGTTATCCATGTACGTTCATCATCAATATGTGAAACGACAAATGATTTCACACAGCTGCACTTTTCTTGGTGGTTTGCAGCCACATGCTAACTAGCGAAATGCAGCTAAGCTATAGAACTTGTGTTTAGTGACATCAGACGATACAATATTAGACTGGAGACAAAAACAAAGAATTATGTCTGAAGTGTGTGTTTATCCTCTAACTGTATCAGCTGCTCCACAGGACTTAGATAACATATTATTTTATTTAATAATAGCTGCAGTCGACCCAGAGCTACATGCTACATGCTACATGCTGTGTGTCAACACTGATCAGAGCTGTCGTCCTCTCTCACTGGGAGACAGACCGCGTCGGACGTCTTTAAATTTTAATCTTCTCACTTCACTGAATGTAAACACAGAGATTCCACTCAACCTCAATCTGTGAAATAGATTGAAAACACACAATTAACTCTGGACATAATGTTGTCCACCATTTAAAGAACTTTTTAATTAATTAGACTAACACAGAATTAACACCGGACATAATGTTGTCCGCCATTTAAAGAACTTTTTAATTAATTAGTTCATTTATTTTTAAACAAAAATTGTGTTGACTAGTTGATGCAACATGATACTGGCAACTTTGTTTTTTTACACAGAACTAAAGAACTAATTTGTGTATTATGGACTTTTTTCAGTTTAATTGAAATGCAGGCAGTCATTGTACGTTAAAGTTATTATTTGTAAAAAAAAAAAGTACATCATCAAGTTTTTGTAAAAATAAATATATATACCTTAAAGGCTGGGATAAAGTACAGAAAATAAATAATCAGGAACAAGAAATATAGAAATAATGTGTCTAAAGGTGGAGGAAGTTAATATGAGTGACTCCCAGCATGCAACAGTTCTCTTAGAAATGACAGTGGGGACAATTTTCTCCCCACAACAGGTTGAATACCAACACACACACACACAACAGCAGCAGCAGCAGCAGCAGCAGCAGCAGCAGCAGGGCAACAGTGAGAATGAATATTAAGTTTCAACTGTCTCTAACCACTGGTCTATTCATCTACACCCTCAGTCAGACCATTCAGCAGCCCCACCCTCACACACACACACACACACACACCGCTCCACACAGCGCAGAGGTGCGCGGGCCACGTCACAGCTCACCTCCACTGAGAACACCTCTGATGGAACCCCCACCTCTTTTGTGCGTTCGTTGCTGTGTTCGCTCTCTGATATCTATCTGTATCTGTGAGCTTCGTCTCCAACCGACCCACAAACATCAGCACAGATAAAAAAAATTCGCCGTGCGTCTATAGTCGATTACGTCCTCAAGTGCACTTCTGCTGACGATGACGATGATTTCTCGTGACACGGAGAAATTAAGTCATTTTCATGTGATTTAACTTCACCCCATTAAAACCTGTGGTGTGTTCATCGATGACGTCCACTTCCTGGGACGTGACGGACCTTTTTGGTGGTCGCCTCCCTCTGTGAGGGTTTTATGTGTTCATCTGTTAATGCAATGTGAACACAAAAACAACACTGCTTAGCGATGGCTTTTCCACCAATGCTCACCAAGTGCAGCACGACAGTGCGGTCCAGGCTTTAATGATGTTTTCTTAGATGTTCCACTTTAACGGACTTCAAATGGAGTGGTACACGCCACGGCCTTCATCACTGTCTGTAAACCTCCGACAGCAGCCAGAAGGAGTGTTAATTAATGTTCAGCCTTTTCTTAACATTGCCCTCTGTATTTCATTTATATGTTTTTTTATGTAAATATTATTTTGAATCGTAATGCATCTCCTCACAAGATACACAATACACTTTCTGCATTATTACACCTGTGGAGATGTGACCGAGAGCAACGCACAATGTTTGATCTGGTTTAAGTAAAGTAAAGTAAACTTTGCACCTCAAAATTCTTAAATTTTTTATTTTTTTATTTTTTGAAAAACACAGTGAGACTTTCCTTTCATTTCTTATGCGTTATTGGTGTAAAAGCTCTGCTCACTTTCTGGTCACCCGGCTGTGTTAACTATGGAGAAAGTTTCATTTCATTTATAGTCATCTTTTGATATCATGTATTTTATCCTTAGTTTTATTGATATATTGTGTAATCTACTGATTGAGGTTGAACTGTTTTCAGTTACTGGTTTAATCAGTTAAATGTTGAGTCTCAACTGTGTGAGAATTTATTGGGAAATGTCCGATTTTTGAAACCAAAAACATCCGTTCTTCAAACGTTCCTCCACTCTCTCCCTCAACATCTCCCCACCTCACAGGTGAGTATCTTCACCAGGTTAGTTTTACAGGTCGATGTCAAAGATGTTTTCATCAACTGGGGGGGACCCCCCTCTGATGCGGCCCACAACTAAGAGGAGCATCATGGGTATTTGGCAGCTGAATCTCATTCCATGTTGTGGGAGTTTGTGTTTGAGACCTAATGATGATCTGGGTTTAACGTCGGCCACATAAAATCTTTCCAGTTTTGTTGGTCTCTCACCACTGTCTCCACCAGCTAGTGACGCAGACGTGTCTTTAATATACTGTTACATTTTCCATAAGGAAGACTCCTGTTCTTAGTCTTGATGCTGATTGGTTGTCACTGAGGACTTTCATGCCACGTTTCCCTGGTTCCACCAGACATGAATGCCTCTTGTTTTTGAAACTAGAGGAAAAACAAAACTTTTTTTTTTTTAAAGATCAATCAACATGTGTCTGTTTTATGATCTGTCGGACTAATACGTGTCTGTGCTGTGAGTATGACTCAATTCAGGCCCACGGATGTCCAAAGCCTCTCATCCATGTGCTTTGTTTACGAGAAAAATGTGCAGAACTTTGAACGAGTTCTTCGAGTCAGAGCTCCTTTCGAGGTGGAATTAGGGCATTTAGTTTGAAAGGGTTTAAAATGATACCTCGGGTTTTGGAGATTGTCCGCACAAGTAGCTCTGGATCTTCTCCGGTCAGCTCCCTATAGTTTAGTCAGATTATGTGAGACCACAGCATGAGCAACTCACATGAATCTTGGAGGTTCTCCTGCTGTTCTGAACGCAACTCACAATCTTCAACTGTGCACGTCTAAACCTGGAGAACGCCCAGACCCATTTGACTTGACGTTATCCAGAGTTCACGTCTGAAAATAGCTTTAGTCAGCGTCTAACGCACAGCTGAGTGCACGCTGCTGTTGATTTACTGCTGCCTCCATTACTCCGTTGGTAAACCCTTAAACCCAGCCGCCAACAGCAGCTCCTATGCTGCAAAAACAGCCCTGCTGGAAACAGGCAGAATCAGCTTCCTGATTCGAATCAATGACAAAAAAATATTTTATCTCTGAAAGACTACACTGAGCTAACACTTAAAAACAGAATTATGCTAGCAACATATTGTTTTATTTTATGTGACTTTTTTTCTCTTTTCTGTCTCAGATCTGATGTTTTTTTTTTCTTTTATCGCATTTTTCTTTCATTAATTTTCTACTTTTTTTTTTTCAGCAGACCTGGGATTCGGAGGAAATCGTTGCTGTTCCTCAGACAGACTCAACCATCTCTGTTCCGTACAACGATAAATACTCAGTGTCATTTGTTCTGTTCATTGGATAATTTATTCTCCGCAGGGTCAAAGGTGGAATGTTGGTACCTGCTCTGGAGGTTGACTGAAAAACATTAGGTATTACACACACACACATGTTTTATCATTCAAAACCTGGACATGTAGCCGGCCCACCTCCCCTCACCCCCACCCCTCCTCCCCTCTACAGACAAACATATAGAACAGCTAGATTCTATATAACTATAGAATTATTTTTCTTTTGGTTAATATTTTCCAGGCCATCAAATTCTGTCAACACTGGATTTTCTATTGAATTCTATTTAACTAAGCCATAGCAAATTATGCTAATATTAGCTATTTCCTGGTAAGTGTTTTATCAACCAGGATTCACTTCTTACATATATTTTATATATATTTTTTGGTGGTAAATCATTAACAGCTTTATTGTATTGTTTTTCGCTAATAGCTGTTTTCTGTTTTTCTGTTTTCAAGCTCTGTTCTTGCCAGCATTTAGCTATTGTTAAGCTATGGGACATTAGATTCCTGCTAATTTTTAGTTTTGTTTAATCAATTAGCTAACAATAGCCATAAAGCTATTTGGATAACTTTCTATTTCTAGACTGGATTTCAGTTTAAATTGTTGTAATGTTTTTTACTTCAAGCTTAATGAACAAAGCCCTTTTCCTTATAGTCTTTTTGCTCATTTTCATTTGTGCGTTATATGTGATAAACAAACACTCGGGAAGTTAAACAACTTGACTGAAGACAATAAACCTGCTGTTTTCCCTGACTTCCTCCTTTAACATCAACACTCTCCTGCTCACGCTGTCTCCGGTGGCGCTGTAAACTACCATGGCTGGTCCACTTCTGAAAGGCATTCCCGTGTTAATGCATGAATCATGACACTTTGACTGGACTTCTCTTTATTCATTGGGCCTGTTCTCATTCATGTCTCTCTGTCTCTGCCTGTAACGCTTTAACCCTCCACAGATGACTTGCTACTGGGACTTCCTCTGAAGTGCTGATGGGTCACACGCATGACCGACAGGTTAACAAGCAGGCAGGTTTGGGAGGCTTTGGATAGAGGGTCATGGTCAAAGGTCGGGATAACAGGGAAATCCCAGAGATCAATGCAGTGACACTCCTCCCCCGGCGAGATTGTTTCTTCAGGATCTGCACTAAGACCCAGCTCGCCCGACGAACTCTTCCATCACAGGTGACAGAGATGTGTTTATCCATCGTTCCCATTGTTTTTAATGCCCTTTGGTCTTAGCTGTCTGGCTACTAGCTCTCATTACATGCTCAGCTTTTTTTTTCACACCTCTTTTTTCATTCCATATTGCACAGGTTTCCATAGCTAAAAAAAAATTCAAAAGTAAATAAACCTATATATCTTCAAAGTCTTGAATTTTCAAAAGTAAATAAACCTATATATCTTTAATATATTTTTTTATTTTTGTTTGATTTTATATAACTCTACCTGATTCTGTGCATCTTAGTCTATCGTGGAGTGAGATGAACAACTCCACTGCTGTGTCACAGTCACAAATGTTCTCTTAAAATCCACCTGAGAATTTACCGTCCATGTAGAAGTTGGAAAAACAGCAGTATAACAGACATTTTAAAGCTGTCACACCACTGTGGTATCTCCTGTTTTTAAATCACAGTCATGGCTGTAAATTCCTCAGCAGAAAAACTCTTTGATCAGCACACAAAAATGAAGGCGAGGACGTCCGCATGCCGCTGTCGAGCTGCGCCCCAGGTGCTGCTGGGTCATCTTTTTCCGACCAACGTCAGGGTGAGTTTAAAGTCTTTCCGACAACACTGGAGGTGAGAGGGGTCGCCACGGGCGACCATGAGCTACTGTGGCTATGCTAATGTGCCAATCTGTAGACTATTAATACAGACAAACACCAGTGTTGTGCGTTTGCATGAGCGCCCACATGCTCACAGTGTGGTGTGGAGAGGGTGAAGCCGCCCAGTAAAAACGCTGCGATGTCCTCAGCAGATACATGTCACCTCAGTCTTCCCTTTGAATTGAAAGGACACTTCCCTTTAGCACAGGGCTGATAAACACTCACACAAAGTCAAACACACACACACACACACAGTTTGGGAATTCAAACCAACGTCACACAATAAACTTTGACAATTGACAAAGGAAACCATTTAGAAATCACTCTGACGGCAACAAACCTGTGGAAAGTCATTCAGTAGTAATAGTTTAGTCAAAAATATAAAACAAAATACAACTACAAAAAAGGTTGTTTCTTTTTTTGATTGTTGCATCATGTCATTTGTGAGATAATGATCCGAGGGTTTAATGATTATAAAGATAGTGCTAATGATCCGAGGGTTTAATGATTATAAAATGATGTCATTATTTTCACCATCATTTATTGCTTTTCTTTATTTTGACGACTATAATAGAATAAAAAAGGAATGCCCTTTATTGTCATTGGAAAAAGAGCAGTACAGTGCAAAACAATGGTTTAGCAACTTGAAAGTTCCAGATATATATATATATATATGAAAAAACAAACAAAAGAAAGAAACAATGAAAACCTTCTAGTAATATAGACAGCTTTCTATCTAAGAAAATAGTTTTCCACTTTCAAAACTTTTTTTCTTCTGTTTCAGAATGTTTGTGCATTGGATGGTACAGTAAAAAGCCGACATCTTCTACCACTCCAGCAAAACGAAGTCTTCATTTATAAACCTGTTAGATATCTGTGTTCACCCTGTTCGTCCTCCCAGCATGTTGAGTCGGAATGTGTTCGATTCCCGACGCTCTCACAGACGCAGAGGGGAACACGAGACGAAAGGTACTGTAACAAAGTACAGTTTTACACCTTGGATACATTTTCTTAAATAAGAGCAAAGTCACTTGAAGTATAGTTGTGTGTGTGTCTGTGTGTGTGTGTGTATTAGGGTACTTACAGGATCATCTCCTACCATCATTGAGGTGTGAACTTGCGACTGCTCCCCCACCTCCCTCTTTACACCCGGCCAGGTGTCAAAGCCCCCACTGAGGTGACACTTAGCACCAGTCTGAGAAGGAGCTGCTCTCAACACCACAAAACCTCTCACACACACACACACACACACACACACACGTAGAGGAAAAGAGTAATGTGGTGGTTGGGTCTGAAAATATTTTTTATTTTATATCCTCACACAGAGACTACAATGAAATGTATCAGTTTATTGGAAGAACCTTTTCTCCTCATTCAGCTCAACTCGTACTTAGAAAATGTCACCTGATGTATATACAGGTACTCATCAGCGCCTGCTCTCACAGTACAGCACACAGTAACTCACAGTAACTCTGAGTACCGTACCGTTATCTGGTCTTGTCCTCCCTCCTACTTTCCTTTGAAGATAATGATGTCAAACTGTAGAGGCTGTGTGTGTTCGAGAAAATGTTTAGGAAGCGTACGTTGCGTTCACACATAACAGCAAAACTGGTCAGAATTAACAACAGGAAGCGAAAAGCCTGGACAGTTGACTTTGTTGATGTCGTTGCGTAAAGAAAAACCAACAGGCTAACGTTTACATCAAATGGTTTAGATTTGGACCAAACTTTAGAAATAAAAATAAAAAAATACTTTACACTCAAATTGTAACTGCTTGTAAATTAAAAAAATAAACCACACAGAAAAATGTTAGCCAATTGTTAGCCACGTTAGCTAAGGTTTGCTCTGTTTAGCCACGGCTAATATGTTTTAGTCATGATGACTCCTTCAGTTGTTTTGTTTTTCTTTACACATATTGTTCAAGCACACAACAGTAATGGATGAAATACATTCATCACCACAGAGAACATAAACATTTGTGGAAGACAGTAGCCAAATGGTTGCAGAAGTGACCTTGTGATCTCAGGGTCAGTGGTTCAAATTCTTGGCCTTCCTTTGCTAACAACACACAGCACCTGCCAAAGAACGAGAGTTTAACAGTGTAGATCAGAGGTGTCCAATAAGGAGATCGCAATCTACCAGTAGACCACAAAGGGAGTGCTGGTGGATCGCGAGCAAATATATGACGTTTATATGAGTTAATATATATATATATTTATATATATATATATTTAACATTTACAACGTCGGTCCAGAGGACCATCTTGGCCTGGTTAATTTACAATGTAGGTCCAGAGGACCATCTTGGCCTGGTTAGTAGCATAGTTAGGGTTCAATATGTGGCTCTAGGCCGTTTTGAGTGTAGATTTTTGTTTACTGTGGTCTGATATTAAAGAATATAAAATATAGGCTTCATATAAAAGTCTTAAACCAAATGCGTATCTGTGCTGCCCCCTATGTTAGCCTTTGTGACCCTACATACTGGAAACCCACAGTTAAAAATAGCCAAGTGTGAGTCAATGTATATTCCACCTGTACATATATGGTCTTTTTGTTAACAACAGTTGTTGTTCTACCTTTACCCCCAATACAACAAAACAAACCATAACGAGAACGGCCACATGAATCTGACTGAAGAGCCACGGTTGGACCCTGAGCCACAATTTGTTAGTACCACCTACGGTTAACAGCTGTGGTAGTAGGAACAACAACACTTGTGTATTAGTGAAAAACTTAATGACAACCTGGTTCAGTTGATATAATCCAGCTCGGCCTTTTAAATGGAGGTGTCCTGACTTTTTGAATCCCATTAAAAACAGGTCGTCACATCTTGAGCAGCCCACAGTAGGTAGACCAGACAGCGTCCCTACAATTATCACGGTAACAGGGTGTGTGACATCCCTATGATAATAGCTGCTGTCCCTATAACTCATGTGATCCCTGTAATCTGTCGTCTCACAGGCGACACTTCCAACAGAGACTGCGTTTGATGTGGCGCAGCTCAGTGAAGAGGCCTTTGCATGTGAATGAAACGGCGACGCGTGTTTTCATCACACCTGCCCGGAGCAGGGTAAGAATTTCACTTGATTTTCCCTTGAGTTTTTTTTAAGAGACATTTGATGTGGTTTCTTTCTACCGTTACTTCTTGATTTATTTTCAAATTGTTCCTTTCATTGATATAATATTACATACTTCTTTGGTTTGTTTTGTGAGCACTTCACATAGACACCTTATTCCCCAACATCTCACCCTGACTCTTACTGTTACAGATACAGTATATGCCTAACCCTGAATTATAATCCTAATTTAAAACTAAAGCCTTTTCGCTCATTAGAGCCCGTCAAAATGTCTACAAAATATTAGTCAGAAAATGGACCCATAAATTTGCTATACCAGACACACATACATAATTTATCATTTACTTTAAGACACATTTTTAGGCTTTTTCTGTTTTTGGATCCATTAATTCTTCTCATTTACATTTGTAAATATTGTTTAAACTACAAACTTAGCAACTCGCTACATTTCCTATGTTTCCTGGATAACTAACTTTCACTTTTATTTGCAATTAGTTTTGAGTTTCTGTGTTCATTTAAGCGTGCAGTGTTTCCAAAATAGTCGTGGTTATTGTAACACAAATATAACACGGTGACAGCAAACTGATCCCGGTCACGATGCACTTGATTGACAGCAGTTGACACTTACAACACAGTCAACCACACAACAGCGTGTTCCATTCAACTGATTTACTGTGATGTTTTGGCAAAGCCAATGTATTTTACAGGGAAATTTTTTCTTTATTTTTTACAAAACATACACTTAAAAAGCTACAAACCACCTGAAAGCAATTACGTTAATTATGATGTTTGCACCATAACCAGCACTTCTGCGTGCAGACCGCTGCTGTGTTTGAGTAGCATAGATAAAACATTTTTTAAAATTCAAAAGATAC